TAACTTTATACACAAGTGCCAAAATACTATAATTATTAATTGATCGTTGTCTTCTTAATGGTTTGTCCTCAAGCTTATTTAAATTTGGCTACAGACTTGACTACATAAAGAAAGTAACGTCATTTTTGAATGAACCAAAACAAATAGAAGTTTTCGACGTCGGTTTTTAGAGACCGCTTGTATTTGTCTTTAATATAGACTTTGAAAAAAAAGAAGGATAAAAGAAATTACTGTTCGTATTTCCACCTCATTTCTACATTACATCTACTTCGCTGGATTACAAATATAGACCTATTTTATATTCTAATTAGTTAAGTTTATTTTCACCATAACTGTTTGCTCATGCATGTAATTCCTCGTTTGTTCTTAGTCATATCTAAATTAAAAATTTCTCAGGAGTGAACAAATTAAAAAAAAAGAATTCACACTACGTTTATTTCTGTTCTTTCTTTTTTTTGTTTGTTTATCTACAACCACTTGCGGTCCGTAAAGCAGTCTTTTGAAAAGAATGTTGGGCTCGAAAGGTATCACTCCGCCACTAACATTCCACTGCGTCTTACTTAGCCTTAAAGGATGTCATTTCGCTACTACCATCATGCTGCGTCTTGACCATAAAGAGTACCATTCCACCACTATTACAACATTGTATCTTGGCCTCAAAGGGTGTCATTTCACGACTAATATCACACTGCGTTGTACTTAGCCTTAAAGGATGTCATTCCGCTACTACCATGATGCTGCGTCTTGACCTTAAAGAGTACCATTCCGCCACTAAAATCACACAGCGTCTTCGCCGCTAGGAGTATCATTCCAACACTATTACATCATTGTATCTTGGCCTCAAAGGGTGTCATTTCACGACTAATATCCCACTGCGTCGTACTTAGCCTTAAAGGATGTCATTCCGCTACTACCATCATGCTGCGTCTTGACCATAGAGAGTACCATTCCGCCACTAAAATCACACAGCGTCGTACTTAGCCTTAAAGGGTGTCATTCCCCTACTACCGGCCCGCATGGCCAGGTGGTTAGGACGCTCGACTCGC